ACAGGCTTTGTGCTGGGGTCTCGGCTCCAAATCCCACCCCTGCCTCCCCCAAGTCCTGTGTCAAGTGTGACAGGCAGAAGCTGTGTTCCGAGGGCTTGGTCCTCAGTGGAGGGTCCCTGCGTCGTGGGTGACGCCCTCTGAGTGGGGGCTACACGCCCTGCCCCACCAGGCGGTGAGGAAGGGTTCTGCGGGGTGTACGTCCCAGCGGCTTGGCCCCCACTGCAGGCCGGGGCCGCAGATGCTGCCTCGCTCTCTCCCGGAACAGAGCTGCCGGAGGGTCCTTGACTCGGACTGGATCTCGCACGCCAGGATAGCTGACTTTCAGGTGGGGGATGAGGTCCAGATGAGGCCTTGGGGATTCTCTAGCTGACCTCGAAGTGTCCTTTCTACGTCAGAACAGAGTCGCCTTTCAGCTTCAGGAACTAGTTTCTGATTTGGGTCCCTTTCGTGGGTGTCCATCTCGGCTGCAAACGTGTGTTAGTGACATTTTCAGCCTTTGTTCATCTTCACTGGTTAAGGAGATGTTCCAAAAACCACTTCGAGGTTTTTGAACAGTCACAAATATTTAAGCCTCCGCTTTGCCTGTTAAGGAAAATGCCACCTAGGATAATCACTTGGCCTTTGCCTGACAGGAAGGTTTACACAAAAGACAGGATTATTTTCACCTCTGAGCAATTCACAGACTTTGAACCTAGATGGTCTTTTCTATACCCTGCAATGATTCCTTGAGCGAAATATTCCAAGTCCTGGACACACATGAAGAAAATGCGAGCAAAAGGCACAACACCTGCAGTCACTCCTGACAGAGCTGCCTATGGAGTGCCGCTTATTCCTCAATGGGAGTCATGTGGAATCCAGGTGTAGATCTGGTTCCATCGGTGTCACCTCCTCTACTGTAAATGGGGAGCACTTCCCGGGGAAGGCTCCACAGCAGGCCTGCGGGATGCTCCCCCGTGGTGGAGATGGCTGGAGCCAGGGGCAGCAGCTGGATGTCGGCAGTTTTTAGTAATGTCACCTCAGACCATCCTTTACCAGCTTGGTCACCTCGTCTGAGATACGGGCCTGGGGTTCTGTTTCTCTGTGGGGTTTGTCACGAGGAGAAGGAGAGAAGGGCCCGGCACGCAGGGGACACTGCAGAAACGGTGGGCTGCGCTTTATCATCGCTTGCATAGTGGGAACAAGGAGAGGAATGAAGGCTGACAGGACCTGAGGATATCTGGGGCCAGACATGTGATCCTGCGTGTAGTAAGGGGCCCCGAGTTGGTTTTCCACAAATCCCTCTCTGACAGCTTGTTCCCAGCATCCTTTTCTTTGACAGATGTTCCCAGGATCCTTTTCTCCAAGGGGTGTTCCCAGCCTCTCTCTCTCTTAAATAATGTTCCCAGGGCCCCTCTCTGACACCTTGTTCCCAGCATCCCTCCCACTGAAAGTATTTCCAGAATTCCCCTCTCTCATGGATGTTCCCAGCATCCCTCTCTCTGATGTCATGCTCCCAGAATTCCTCTCTCTGATGTCACATTCCCACCATCCCTCTGATGTCACATTCCCAGAATTCCCCTCTCTCATGGATGTTCCCAGCATCCCTCTCTCTGAAGCCATGCTCCCAGCATCTCTCTCTCTGATGGATGTTCCCAGAATTCCTTTCTCCGATGGATGTTCCCAGCATCCCTTTCTCTGATGGATGTTTATAGCATCCCTCTCTCTGACAGCATGTCCTCAAGTTCTGAGCATGACATGGCCAGCCCCATACAGGTGCGATCTCTTAAATGGCAATCAATATTGGTTCAAAGTGTCTTTTCCAGGTCAACCTAGTCTCTGCTGTCCCAAGTAAGTGAGCAGGAAGACAGCAGTGGTCAGGGTCTTCTAGGAGAGTCTTCTAGAAGGCTGCAGGAGGCTTACAATCCAGGGTGAGTCAAGTAAACAAAATCAACGCCAGGAGCAACAACTCTCCAAGTTACAGACAACCTCATGAGGTGGACATTATCACGCCCCTTTACAGGTAGAGACTAAAGCCTGGGGTGTTTAAGTAACTTGACTAAGTGGTACAAGCAGTGTTCCAAAATAATGACTGTGGTTCTAGAAGGTGCTTAGAGGAAAAAGCCAATCTGAAAAGGTGATACTGTATGACTCCATCCTATAACATTCTTGAATTGACAATATCATGCAACAGAAAACAGATGAGTGGTTGCTGGGGGTCAGGGATGGGTAGGGTGCAGGAAGTGGGTGGGCGTGGTTATGAAAGGACAAAAGGGGGGCTGCTGTGGGGGCCAGTCAATCTATACCTGGACAAGGTGCTGGAGATGTCAGCTGACATGTGGTCAAGCTGCACAGCGCTATATAAACACACAGCGAAGAGTGCAAGTTTATAGAAAGGCTGAGAGTTACCACGATACGTTAGTATATGTTCAGGCGGAGGAAGGAGGTATCATTTAGTGAGAGGCGGTGGGCTGAACCATGCTCCCTTCCCTCAGAGATCCTAACCCCCAGAATCTGTAAACACACTCCTTCTACTTAGTAAAAGGAATTTTGCAGCTCTGGATAAGTTATAGATTCTGAGATGGGAAGATGACTCTGGAGTATATGGGTGAAGCCCATGAAAGCCCAACAGTTCTGATGAGAGGCAGGCTGGAGGGTTGGGGCTGGAAGAGACAGAAAGAGATTCTGAGACGTGATGCTGTCAGCACAGACTGCGGAGGAGGGAACCAGGAGCCAAAGGCCTGCTCAGAGGCTAGAAAAGCAGAGGCTAGAAAACCAGACAGTCACCCTGGAGCTGCTGCAGGGACGGTCATTCCACAGTAACCCAACGAGACTGAATTTTGACTCCTGACCTCCAGAGCTATAAGAGAAAAAGATTTGCATTGCTGTAATCCACTAAGCTGGTAGTGAGATAGCAGCTATATGAAATTAATACAATAAGGAACCTTGGGAAAAAAGGCAACAAACTTCAATTATTTGGGCGATTTCCTCTATGTGGAATGCTCTCATCCCTGGCGATATCAGATGGCTGAGGCATTACTGAACATGAGAAGCTATTTGTTTGATCAGCAGAGACCTGGTCTTGACGGAGATGAAGCTCAAAGCCACCTTGATTCCTCAGACTGCTGCCGTTCCCTGCCATCAAGCTTTGGCAGCATCTGGTGGGTGGTACTTGGAGCTGGCGCAGCTCATAATCACAGCCTGTTTAATCCATGTCAGCCAAGAGAAGCCTCCAGAATAAATACTACATCCAGAGGGCATATTTTTTCTGTACCATCTCTTTATGCTTCATATTTGAAAAATATTTAAACTCGCGATATACCTGGAGAAACTAAGGTGTGAGTTCTTTGCAGGTCAAGAGGTTAGGCAGGTTAAGGATCAAGAGAATTGGACATGTAATTCAGAATTTATGTTTTTAAGTAAATCTAAGCCCGCTTCTACATGAAGAATATAACAAGCAAAAAAAAAAAAGCCCTTGACAAAGGAATAAAAGTTAGCTTCCGTTTGGGAATAATGGCTGTAACAGAGGGTCCCAGGTGCAAACACTGCACCCGGCACCTTTAGTTCTCAGAGCAACTCTTCAGGGAGCACAGAGTTGTCCCTGACTCGCCACTGCAGAAACAGGCTCGGAGGGGTTAGGGAGCTTGCTTGCGCTCCCACAGCCTGTAAATAATAAAGTCTGGACTGGTGCTCACATTGGTCGGATCTCCAAGCTCATGTCTTGCTCTCGCTACCGCCTCAGAGATAAATGCGTGAGGCAGCATCTTGAATAAATACCACAAAGTCACCAAGAGCTAACATGAGAGTTCTACAGAGAACTGAAGGTTGGCCTAACTTGGAATTCATTATCTGCTCCATCCCGGAGCTCAGTGGGGAAGGGACTGCGCCATCCGCACGGCAGGGCGTGGACAGCACGTCGCCTCCATAGAGGCCCGGGGTGGTAACCCACCCACTCAGTGGCAGGTAGGAAGCTTCATAATGCAGGAGGAAAACTGCTCCATGTGTTATAACAAAGACAGAGTGGCAGGGCCGCTGCTGTCAACACACGAATCCTGCAACTGCTTGGCCAGACCCCATGGGTATGCCCGTCCCGGCCGAGACGCCAGGATCCACACCAGCATGCTGCTGAGGACATTTGCTGTTGTTGGTAGTCGCTCAGTTGAGTCTGACTCTGTGTGACCCCATGGGCTGTAGCCCGCCAGGCTCCTCTGTCCATGGGATTCTCCAGGCAAGAACACTGGACTAGGTTGCCATTCCCTTCTCCAGGGGATCTTCCTGACCCAGGGATGGAACCTGCGTTTCCTGTCTAGGCAGGTGGGTTCTTTAACACTGGGTCACCTTTGGAGAACCAAGTATTACCTATAAAATAGCATGGAGTCTGATAGGCTAGTCACTCTGATTTTTTGACACAGACAACAAACTGGTGGTCACCAAAAGGGAAGGGGGGCAGGACAAATGAGAAGTTTGGGATTAACGGATATACACCATTGCATAGAAAACAGATAGACAACAAGGACCTACTACACCGCACAGGGAACTATATTCAGGGTCTTATAATAATCTACAATGGAAAAGAATATGAATATATTCTTACAGTAACTGAATCACTTTGTGTACACCTGAAATTAACACGACATTATAAATCAACTATACTTCAATAAAAAGTAAACACAAAACAAAAAAATGAATCACTCTGATTTTGCTAAAATCCCATCACTGGGACCATCCCTGAGCCCGTGTTTCCACGTGGAGCTTCTCACAAGCAAGGTCCCTCCTTCTCCACCGAGTGGTGGTTCTTACATTCCTTTGCCTGTGACTGTAAGAAATGCATTTTTCCCATGCACCCACCTCACACATACGTGTAACAGAAACAAAAGTTCCGTGAAGCACGATGTGTCCTCACTGTGTGCACAGAGCTCTCACGCTTTCTTTTTCTGTATTTGCTCCACACACGCTGACGGGTGATGCCGGGTCCCATCCACACCCCACGAGTGGTTGTGTTTCATGGCGAGTGAGCGGCCTACCTCCGGGGCGATGTAGTCGGGGGTCCCACAGAAGGTCCTGGTCGTGACGCCGTCCATCATGTGCTCCTTGCACATCCCAAAGTCCGCGATCTTGATGTGCCCTTCTGAGTCCAGCATGACGTTGTCTAACTTCAGGTCCCTGCAAGGAAGCAGGTGCATCAGCGTCCCTCCGCACGCAACTGCTTCTCTCTGCCTCGTTAGTACAGGCCTGGGAGAGCTGGGGCAGGACCTGCCACCTAGCAATTTTCCATCTCTAGAGCCCAGCGCAGTGCCTAGGGTACTTGTGTGCATGCCGAATCGCTTCAGTCGTGTCCAACTCTGTGTGACCCCATGGACTGTAATCCCCCAGGCTCCCCTGACCATGGGATTCTCCAGGCAAGAAGACTGGAATGGGTTGCCATGCCCTCCTCCAGGGGATCTTCCCGACCCAGGGATCAAACCCAGGTCTCCTATGTTTCCTGCACTGGCAGGCGGGTTCTGTACCACTAGCACCACCTGTGAAGTGCACCTATGGTACAGCAGATGCTTAATAAATCAGACTGAGTGAGTGACAGAGCCAGTGAGCCCACCTTGACTGCAGGTGAATCACTGGAGGCTCAGCTGAGCAGCTCCGAGGGGACCGCACCCCAGTTTGTTGGTGTCCCACCCAGAGGGCTCAGGCTCCCCGCCGGGGCGCAGACCGCAGGCTCAGAACCACCGCACTGTGCACTCGGCCCCCTCATTCTGCCCGGCGTCCTGATCACTCTCCGCTTAGTGCTGGCCGACGTCCAGCCTTCACCGTAACCAGCAATGGCAGGAACTGGACCCGGCGGCCTCCCTCTCCCCACCCGCCCCAGCTCCCCGCACTCCTCTGCTGAGCATCACTAGCAGAAACTCAGCCCGCACGGTCCCTGACCCACACGCCACATGAAAGGCAGAGGAAGGAGCGGCAGGGGAGAGAAAAGCTCGTTTTCTTGCAGAAGCAGAATTGAGATCCAGAGACCAGAAGCTGGACCACATTTGCCCCGAGGCTGCAGAGAACGGTGGGTCCCAGCAGGTGTCCATGATGGGGTAGGGGGGACTGTCCTCTCCAGGTGTGACACCCCCTCTCCCCTCAACAGAATCACACGCCCATGGAGTTCAGAGGGCCAGCAAAGCTCCCTCTGTGCTGCAAGCAGCAGGGCCTTGATACACACCGATAAATGATTCCTCTTTTATGAAGAAAGAACAGCCCGATGGAAATCTCTGCCGCATAGAACCTGCAAAAGAAAATGTCTGTCGGGCGTCCAGCTTGTTCCCTCCGGCCTTCTGGATACTTTCTACCCTCAAGATCAGGCATCAGAATGGCACAGGAAGGGAAGACCCTGGACCGTCAGAGACCAGTACTGGCCTACAGACAACTCCAACCCTCTGCAGTTTTATGACCCCAGCTTCCCCAAGGGATGACACAGCTGATAAAATCAGTGAAGCAGGTTTATTACCTGTCCCCAAACAAGCCCTTCTTGTCTGGGGCAGGTGGACAGGTAATTTACTGCTTAAAAGAAATTTTGAGCACAATCTTTTAAAGAGTAGCTGTCTGCTAGGCTGTTCTACGTCAGGGCTACAATAGACTGAAGCAAATTTCCATTTTCCCCCTCAAGGACAGAATACCTTAGTGTTTAAAAACACACCTATGCCCTGGATGACAAAGGTCAGTGTGTGCTGAACTCTGGGGCTGGTTTACTCACCCCCACACCCTCACACAATTCATACCTGGTGCACCTTTTAAATAATTCATGATAGGAAGCAGTTACAGCCATCGCTTCATTGATCCATGGATCAATGTCTCAAACTCCAAATAAAGGCTGAAGGAGGTCTTACAATCTGCTTTGCGTTTAGTTCTTGAAGCCTGAGAAGCCACAAGACTCTGCCTGCACAAACAGTACTCTTGCAAGGCTTCAGTAAGCACGCGCGTTTACATGAGTGTGTTTACGGGAGCGGAGGAAGGACCCCTGACTACAAGGACCACACTCTCAACAGGGGGCCGTCTCTGAGGGCCAGCGGGAGGTGGGGAAGAGGAGAGGAGGGGTCACGGGTGACTTTCCTGTGACATTCTCCTTTTCTGTATTTTTAAAATATAAAAACGTTCCAGCGACACAGATACAACTGAAGGCACTAAATGGGACGCCCGTGGGTTTCTTCTAGATGGAGGGAGGCTGTTCTGACCTTGGCTCCGACCGCTCTGAGTGGTCAGGCTCAGCTCTGTCATTAGCGCGTTTAATGCCTTGTAACTAACAACACAGGAGACAGGATCAGGGGAGGGATTTCTGAAAACGGAAAAGTAAAAATAAAAGCAGAAACCACCAGCCCTGAGCGAGCCCCCAAGAATGTCCTGCTCTGCCTCTGGTGGGTCTCCCCAGGCCAGCTCACCCCACGTGGGCCAGGGCGGCTCGTTTATTGTTTAGGCTGAACGCCAGGAGAGCCTGATGGACGGTTGCTCAGGTGATTAACTGGGGTTCCTGGCACTACACGTGTTCACTGGGGGTGAAAGAGCTTTGCCCCTATGAGTTCCCCGTGACTTCCTAGCCCTGGAATACGGGCTGATTCTCCAGGTCTCACGCCCCGCCTCTAGATGGACGATTCTCCGTCTTCCCTGGAGCCTGCGTCTCCCTGACGGCACGATCGCTGCCTCCCGGCCTCGAGGCGCGGGCACCCCACTGAAGCCTCCCCGACCTCCTCCTGGACGGCGGCGCCTCCCAAGCCTGCAGGGCCGTCACCCTGGCGCCCAGCCCCGGTTCCCTTCCCCGGAACGCCTGCCCAGGACCCTGACGCCCCTGGGGCCCCAAGGTCGCGCCGCTGCGTGCTCTCTGCAGACTGCCGGCTCCTCCTACACCAGCCCCACGCCCCAACCCTCCCGTCTCCTCTGGCAGGGAGCCCCCGATGCTGTCAGGCCGCGAGGACCCCAGGCTCTCTCGCTCCTCGCCAGGCCCTCCCCCGCTGGGCGCAGCACCCAGGGCCCCTTGCGCTGCTCCGCTCGCGAGGGAATGGCTCAGGGGCCGGGAGGATGGCGGCTGCGCTCCCAGTGACAGCAAGGAGAACGAGCGTCCCCGTAGGACGCGCGCAGGCGGACCCCGCCACCGCCCTGCCCCCGGGAGGTAACAGCGCCTCACGCCAAGCTGGGCGGAGCCCCACCGCCAGAGCCCCGGCGAGCTGAGGGCACTCCGCGAGCTACTCACACTGCCTGCGGCTCCTTGAACTTCCCGACCTGCTGGATGTGGTACATGAGGTCCCCGCCGTTGACGTACTCCATGACGAAGTAGAGCCGGTCCTGAGGGCCGAGGTTCGACCGGTGAGCGGGCTGCGCCGCGGCCGGCGGCCCCGCTCCAGCCCGCGGTCTGCTTTCTCCTTGGGGAAGCACGGGCCCCGCCGGCACGTCTGCCCGGCGCGGCCCGTCACAGTTTTCTCCCCCCAGGAAAGAATTAGTAAGAAGCCCTGTTGTGTGAGGACCTCGGGCAACAAAGTCACGACGCAACCCTGAGGCATCAGCTCTCAGCTGCCCTGTCCACCCCTCTGGTTACAGAAGCTCCCAATGATAGAAACGGCCTCAAAGCGTCCTCCGTTTCCTCCTACACATAATTCATGTCTAAGCTGGGGCTGGCGTGAAGAGTCCACCCGGGCCAGTTCTTTAACCAGCGGTTGGCAGTGCAGTGGTGGGCGTGTCTGAGAGCAGACCTCGTGGGTCCGGGGGCTCGCAAGCCTAGACCTCAGGGTGGTCTGCGGCCGGCGGCGCCGTCAGTGCGGGGGCCGGTCGGTGTTCCTCCGCGTCCACCTTCGCCCAAACGCTGTTTCTGACTCTCTCTCTCGCTGATGCACTACATGTTGGCCCGCGAAGCGCCCACATCAGAGAACTCAGTGAGTCCGCGCATTTATAAGGACATTACACCGGGACAGATGGGGAGGTGGAGGGGGTTTAGGAGGGAGGTAACGGCGCAGCATCAGGTAAACGCTGGCCTCTGCTCTCTTGCAGAAAACAGCACCATTTCACAGAGGTTATTAAACATTAAAGTGGTGCACAGGGTGGAAAAAAGGACGGAGCTGGAGCTAACAGCCAGGAAACGCCGCCGGGAGCCTCAATCTCTCCTTTCCTGTTATGAACTTTAATTTCAATTTTATTTCTCTGCTTTGTAGCTTTCCAGAGCTTAATCAGCGTAACCAGGGCGACAGGATCCGGGCTGGGGCTTTTTCCTCTCCTTTCATATTGCTAGCTTCTCTTCAGGACGCTACTGGGAGCTGCTCCTGGGAGCTGCTGGAGACGGACCATCGCTCGGCTGCCCCCTGGTGGCCGGGACTGGCTCTGCGGCTCCACCATCCACCCAGGACTGCAGGCCGCCCTGTCATTACAGTTACAGCTGCTGATCACCGGGTCACACGTTCAGGAGGGCAGCCGCGGAGGCGTGGAGAGCTTGCCTTTGGGAACGCCTCACTACGGTGCAGCATATAGTATACACATATACAAATATAAACATCTAAGTGTTTGTATTTCTTGTAGGTTACCTGCAAGCAACATGTCCCAGACTTGGCTGATTAGTGCTTTGGAAATTATTTTGTCCTCTCTTTAGTTAACCTGTATGACAGGGCTCTGCAAACCTTTTCTGTAAAGGGCCAGACAGGAAATATTTTAGGCTTTCTGTGTCTCTTAAAACTACTCAGCTGTGCCTTTGTAGTCTGAAAGCCCACGATGCCAGGTTAGTGAAAGGGCAGGCTATGTTCCAAGAAACCCATTTATGGACCTTGAAATCATCTAATTTTCTTGTGTTACAAAATAATATTCTTTTTATAAAGCCTCTCTTAGAGCTCAGGGACCATCCATACAAACAAGCCAGACTGCCACCCCTGCATGTGCATTACCCAAGAACATCCTCTTCCAGGACATGGGTCTCCTGACGCTCTGATGCCAATTTGGCAGCTGGACCAGGACTTAACGAGCCAGGACTGTGAGTTACCGTTTTGTATCTCTGAGCCTTAACACAGTGCCTGGTATGTGTTAAGAAAACCTTTGATAGCAGCATTCACAGAATCAAATGGAATTAATGCCAAGTCTGTAGGTAGCAGACGCCCTGAATTCCCCAGTGGTACCCACTCTGCTCGGGAGAGGAGGATGGGGGCTGATGTCTTCTCCCGGGAGGAAGGCAGGGGGCGGCGGTGCAAGGACACAGGGGGGGGGCGGGCGGGGGGCGGGCATGCCCCAGGGCCCTTACCACCGTCTGGAAACAGGAGTGCAGCTGCGTCAGGAACGGCGGCTTGTCGAGCAGGGCCAACACCCGCTTCTCCACCATGGTGCACTCCACGTCATCGTCCTGGATGACCACGTCCTTCTTCAGGATCTTGATGGCGTACAGCTCCTCGGTCCCCTTCCGGTCGGCCAGCATCACCTGCAGGCAGACGGAGGGCAACCTGAACCCCTGGGCACACAGCATGGGGGTGCTGGGAACTGTGTGTGCAGACCTGTCAATTTTTTTTTAAGATATTTTTTTGATGTGGCTCATTTTTAAAGTCTTTATTGAATCTACTACAATATTGCTTCTATTTTCTCCTTTTGGTTTTTGGCCAAGAGGCATGTGGGATCTTAGTTCCCTGACCAGGGATTGAACCTGCAGCCCCTACACTGAAAGGTGAAGTCTTAACCCTGGAGCACCAGGCAAGTCCCAACAGATTCATCGATATAAATAAAGCTCCACTTCAGGTGCCGGTTCTCAAATATTGCACTTTGTGTATGTATGTGTTAGTTGTCAGTCGTGTCCAAATCTTTGCAACGTCATAGACTGCTGCACATTAAATTCCTCCAGCATACAGTTTGAGAAAGCTCTGGGAGATGGTGAAGGACAGGGAAGCCTGGCGTGCTGGAGTCCACGGGGTCACAAAGAGTCGGACACGACTGAGCCAGGACTGGACTGAAAGCTTCTAGGCCACCAAGATGTACATGCTGTGTGGGCCGTTGCCACACGAGGGCGCCACTGCAGCCACTGAAAATGATGCTTGACATCCTCCTCTGCATCAGCAGGTACTTCAGGAGCATCCTCATCTTGGGAGCAGAGCATCGTCATCTCAGGAGCATCCTCATCTCAGGAGCACCCTCATCCCAGGAGCACTCTCAGAGCAGATACCTGACTGACTTTTACATGCTCCTCACAAGCCAGGAAGCCGGACCCAAATCCAAAAGAAAGCGGCATGATCGAAACCAGCCCCTGGATCTGCCATGAGATTTGGACTCAGAGAGGCAGACGCAGATACAGAGGCTGGACACGGAGGAAACCTGGTCTGGTATCTCAACTATTACATTCATTTACTACAAGCCAACATTTAATTTTCAGCTGTGAAAATTATTCAGCCACCGTTGTGGGGCACTGACTCCATCCTGAAACCTTAAACAGTGACACAGGGGGCCCTGTCTAGCTTTTTGGGAAAGTCGCTTTTAATGCGATGACGTGGGAAGCCCCTGAGAATGTGGCAGAACCAGGGGACGTCTAAACGGCTGCCCCAGAGTTCTCAGGGAGACTAGGACCGACCGGCCCCCATGTCCTCCACAGAAGCCCCGCCTGGCTCGGACATGGCCCACTCACCTTCCCAAAGCTGCCTTTGCCCAGCACCATGAGGAAGTTGAAGTCAGTGAGCTTCACTCTGTCCAGGTTGTTGGAAGGCTGTCTCCTGTCCTCGGACGGACTGATGACTTTGTTGCCGGCAGGGCCAAGCTTGGCTTTCTAAACAATAACACAGATGTGAAAACAGTCAGCCATTTCCTCAGGGACAAAAGTGACAGGAAACTCTGTGACTAAGCTGGATGCCATTGCTGGGTGGTGGTGGGAGGGGAGACGGGTGAGGAAAGGAAGCCAGACCACGAGATGTCTGCTCCTACCTCCACCACTGCACTCACCCCAAGGGCGACATTTGCAAAGGAGCGAGAAGCTGCCCTCACCCATCACAAGAGATACTTTGTATCTATAACTAACATAATAAAAGAAATAATAAAAGAAGTAAATGTAATAAACTGTGTACTGATTCTCTCCTTCTTTGTAGATCCTCCAATCTAAGATTTGCAGAAACTCACACCGACAACAGAGGGCGAGTGTGTTCCCTGGAGGAAAACGCTTTCACAGCAGGCAATGGGGTGGCTCACTGCTGCGCTAAAAGGCACAGGAGGGGGAACAAAGGTTTCCTTTTTGGGTAAAGAGTTGGACTCATGAAAAGTGGTGACCTGTAGGAGCACCTGGTTTCCCACGGAGCCCACGGTGCTCTCTGCACCCAGCAAATCCTGGGTCATGACCTGTGATTTACCCAGAGGGGTTTTACCCACTGGTCACTTGGTTGACACCGCTTAAGTTAACTTGGCTTCCAGGGAGATGGCAGGAGGTGAAGAAGCTTTCAGGAGATTTTGGGCACGACCAGACCACCAGGACGTCGGTGCTCTGCTCTTCAGGGGAATGTGGGATCTGACGTGTTTTCTTTAGTGGCTGAGAAGGCTCTCAAGGAATCGTCCACACCCCTTCTCTGAGCAGAAGCCTCCTTCGTCCACAGCCACTGGGCAGGCTGCTGGCACCTGGCTCTGTGGGGCGGCCATGCCTTCTCAGGACGAGCTTCCACCCCTGTCCCCGCAGACCCAGCCCCAGAGCCGCACACGGCGCAAGGTCTGCACTAGCATTTTGGTTGAAGGAAGAACGAAGCGAAGCCTGACTGTGCTCATCACATGCTGGGCTGTGAGGTGACTCTTTTCTCTGGTCAAAATAACCTTTTTTAGGGATTGTGGGCTTCTCAGGTGGCATGATCAGTAAAAGAACCCACCTGCCGATGCAGGAGACATGAGTTTGATCCCTGGGTCAGGAAGATCCCCTGGAGGAGGAAATGGCAACCCACTCCAGTATTCTTGCCTGGGCAGAGGAGCCTGGTGGGCTACAGTACATGGGGTTGCAAAGAGTTGGACACGACTGAACGACTAAACAACAAAATATATATCATAGATGTTCACAACATGCAGAGAGAGGAACCTGACAACAGAAGGGTCTTCCTAGTTCTGAGAGTCTGAAGGCAGACAGGCCAACACTGATCAGGGTCAGACAAGTAATCAGGCATTTATTCTATAACTCTGTATCTGCAATAAAAATGTTCTGTGCCTGTCTCTGTGCATCTGAACGACCCTGACAGCATAAGACTGATGGTGTTTGGTGCTGTTCCATCGACCAGGACGCGGGGAGCAGAAAGAGCGAGGCCATGCAAAACCAAGGGTCCCTGAACAGCAGCCTACTTCTAGGGCGACATATTCACCTGCACCCAGAGCAACACTATGAGAAATCAACGGGTCTCCTATCACTTACACGTAACGCCACTTCTCAGGTGGTGCTAGTGGTAAAGAGTCCCACCTGCAATGCAGGAGATGTAAGAGACATGAGTTTGATCCCTGGGTCGGGAAGATCCCTTGGAGGAGGAAATGGCACCCCACTCCAGTGCTCTTGCCTGGAGAATCCCATGGACAGAGGGGCCTGGTGGGCTACAGTTCATGGGGTCGCAAAGAGTCGGAGATAGCTGAAGTGACTTAGCACGCATAATAGGTAGCATAAGAAATTTGTGAATGAACAGGTGAAGTTGCGTGGCTGTGCTCCAATAAAACTTTATTTACAAAAATAGACAGCAGCCAGAACCTGGCCTGGGGGCTCCTGTCTGCCTCCTTCTGCCCCGCATCACACAGGTCCTGGAATCATTCCCCCTCGTCTGCCCCGCGTCACACAGGTCCTGGAATCATTCCCCCTCGTCTGCCCCGCGTCACACAGGTCCTGGAATCATTCCCCCTCGTCTGCCCCGCGTCACACAGGTCCTGGAATCATTCCCCCTCGTCTGCCCCGCGTCACACAGGTCCTGGAATCATTCCCCCTCGTCTGCCCCGTGTCACACAGGTCCTGGAATCATTCCCCCTCATCTGCCCCGCATCACACAGGTCCTGGAATCATTCCTCCTCATCTGCAGCTGGGTTTAAACACAGCCTCCCTCTGCCCTCACCAAGCTGGCAGAATGGTGACAGTTCAGAGCCTCAGATGCACCTGAATTAGGTCCCTGCCGAGTCTCTTCCACGGCCAGCCAGCACAGGAAACAGCTGTCCAGCATCCAAACGGTGTAGTGAGTGAAGAGCTTATTTGGGAGAGCAAAAATTTATGGGAAACCACATGAGGTCATTTTCTTGATTAGAAATGTTTTTATGGACACGTCCACACCAGCTGTCTCTGCTGCTGAATCTGCCGGGCGCTGGCAGGCCTCTGTTTTCATGGTAACTCAGCCAATCTCTCAGGAGACATGCAGACCTGTGACGCATTAGCACTCGGACCATTGTGGGAAATACGAAGTCCCTGTTTCTTCTGGACCCGAGTTCTTACCTTAGTACCAGCTGTGATGCTTTCCCGCAGGCAACCTGCTTTCCCCCTGTGTCCCAGATCCACGCACCAACGGCCAACACCCCCCGCAGGCCGGCTCAGTCTGCTGGTAATAGCGCACTGGTCCCGCCGCTCCAGAGGTCCTGGGACGGCCACTGGGTCTGTCCCACCCAGTGCCCGAGAGTCCAGCCTTCTGTGCCCAAGCTTCAGGGACCATCTGAAGAAAGAGCCTGTCTTTCTCTCACCAGGGAGCTGAGGGCACACGTCCGCCCGATGCCCAGCTAACTGCAGCTCAAGGCCACAGCATGTCATTGGAAGAGGGTTTGGGGCACTTGGTAATTTTTTGAAACCTGTATCCTTTTCTAGAGGCTCAGCAGTGAAGAATCCACCTGCTAATGCAGGAGATGCAGTTCGATCCCTGGGTCGGGAAGATCCCCTGGAGGAGGGCATGGCAACCACTCCAGTGTTCTTGCCTGAAGAATCCCATGGACGGCGGAGCCTGGCGGGCACAGTCCACGGGGTCTCAGAGTCTGACATGACTCAGCGATTAAACAATAAGCCCTTTTCCTGCTAAAACGCTCCCTGTTGGGATCACCACGGTGCTGGCTTTGTAAGTCAGCGCTGGCAGGGTCACCGCCAAACGAACTCACACTGTCAACAGAGGAAATGAGTTTCCAGACTGCTGGCAATATTGCCTAGGAGTGGGGAGTTTTCTGTGCTAAGAAAGCAGAGTAGGTATGAAGTGAGCTGGCCTCCTGCCAGAGGAGACTGCGTGAACCACTGGACCACGGGCATCTTCCCCAGGACCAAGACGAGTCCCGAGAGTCACAGAACATGCGGGAGCATCAAGCGGGAACCCTGTCTTCACGGCCAGCAGAAAGTACAGACACACAGCAGGGCTCAGGGCTCTCTGCAGGCGAGTGTTTGGGGAAATCTTTTACTTGCAAATCTTTACTGCCCTCTTGTGGCACTTGTTTTCTGGACGGATTGCAATTTTTCTTTTTTAGATGTTATTTTTAAACATTTTTTGTTTTGTATTGAAGTACAGGTGATGAACAACGTTGTGACAGTTTCAGGTGGAGAGCAAAGGGACTCAGCCACACACGCACATGTATCCATCCTGCCCCTCGCATCCAGGCTCTCCGTAAAACTGTTCCCGTGCAGTACAGTAGGTCCTTGTTAGTTATCCTTTTACACACAGCTTGGGGCAGGGGCGGCAGAGGATGAGATGGTCGGATCATCGCCGACTCAATGGACATGAGTCTGAGCGAGCTCCAGGAGACACCGAAGGACAGGGAGGCCTGGCGTGCTGCCATTCATGGGGTTGCCAAGAGTTGGACACGACTGAGCGGCTGAACAATGACAAAAGCGTTTCCCAGGTGGTGCTACTGGTAAAGAATCTGCCTGCCCATACAGGAGACATAAGAGACGTGGGTTTGATCCCTGGATTGGGAAGATCCCTGGAGGAGGAAATGGCCACCCGCTCCAGTACTCTTGCCTGGAGAGTCCCATGGGCAGAGGGGCGTGGAGGGCTGCAGTCCATGGGGTCGCAGAGTCGGACACGACTGGGCGGCCAAGCACACACACACATCCACCCGAACTCCCTGTGTCCTCCCCGTCCTTCCCACCAGCAGCCACAAGTTCCATCTCTAAGTCTGTGAGTCTGCATCTGCTTTGTAAATTAGTTCGTTTATAGAATTTCTTCTTAGATTCTGCATCTAAGGGATGTCATACGCTATTTCTCCTTCTCCGTCTGACTTATTTCACTCACTGTGACAATGACCGACTGCGTTCTGACTGGACTCTTAGCCAGGTTTAGAAATACATCCAAGTTTACTAGAACAGCCCACAGAAGTGAAGTTCCTGTAAATACTGCAAAATGGCACAAACAAGACGCAAACGCTACCTTCCCGGCTCTGCCTTCAAGGAAGGTGACTCGTCCCTCGTGAGAGAGCCTGGCCTGTGCGCGGTGCCGGCAGGTGTGCAGACACCAGAGTGTGTCCTGGAATCGCCAAGGGCATGATTTCAGGAGACAAGCCCCAACCACTGCTAGCTGTCTCTGTGTCCTGACTCTCCCCAGACTCTGCAAACCACCGACGCCAGGGAGGCCATGAGCGCCGAGGGGGCCAGGAGCAGCCCCCGAGACCTGCTGTGTCTGGGAAATAATGGATCGTCCCAAGAGGGCAGAATTCAGCAAAAGGGCCACCCCCAGGGAAATTCAACTTGTGCTAAGTGATCACAGGGTGGGAGCTCCTGAAAACAAACAACGGAAACCCAGACCTTGGCTGGCAGTGAAGCTCAGATCCCGGAAAAGCTCCAGGCACTTCTCACCCTCCTCAGCGGCT